TATACTAAAATGTCACTGAATTACATACTTTAAAATGGTTAAATTTATGTTAAGTGGCTTTTATTTCAAAAAATTAATTGTATTTCTACATACTTGCAATAAACAATTTGCATATGAAATTAAGAAAGCAATTCCATTTATAACAGTATCAAAAGTACTTAGAAATAAGAATAAAAGCCAGGCTCGGTGGCTCAGTCTGTAATCCCACACCTTAGGGAGGCTGAGGTGAGTGGATTGCCTGAGCCCGCGGGTTCGAGACCCGCCTAGGCAGCAAGACCTCATCTCTACAATAAATCAAAAAATCAGCCGGGCGTGGTAGCGCATGACTGTAATTCCAGATACTTGGAAGGCTGAGGCGGCAGGATTGCCGGAGCCCAGCAGGTCGAGGCTGCGGTGGCTGGGAGTGGCCACTGCACTCCAGTCTGGGCGACAGAGTGAGACTCCAACTCAAAAAAAAAAAAAAAAGAAAGAAAGAAGAATAAAAACAAAAAATACTTAGATTTAAGAAAAAATACAAAATATATACTCTGAAAACTACAAACACTGCTGAAATAAGATTTGAACAATGGAAAGATATCTTGTGTTCATGGATCAGAAGACTTTTAATATTTTAGATGGCAATACTCCCCAAAGTAATCCATAGAGTGAATGCAATACCCATCAGAATCCCAGCTGCCTGCCTTCTTTGTAGAAATTGACAAGCTGATCCTAAAATTCATCTGGAAACTTAAGGGACCTCAAATAGCAAACACAATTTTAAAAAAGAGGAACCTAAGTTGAAAGACTCTAACTTTCTGATTTTGAAACTTACTACAAAGCTACAGTAACCAAGACAGGATGGTACAGGCATAAGGATAGACATATAGAAGGATGGAATAGATTTGAGAATCCAGAAATACACCCCTTACATTTATGGTCAATTAATTTTTGACAATGGTGCCAAGCTATGCTGGAAAAACTGGGTATTTATGTGCAAAACAAATGAAGCTGGATAACTATCTCATACTATACATAAACAATTAACACAAAATAAATCAAAACCTAAATGTACAAACAAAATTATAAAACAGAAGATAAAACTTTTTGACCTGAGATTTGGCAATAGTTTCTTGGACATAACGTCACAAGCAACAGGAAGTAAAAAATAGACAAATTGGACTTTAAAATTAAAGCCCAAAATCTGTGCTTCAAAAGGCACTATCAATAGTGAAAAGAAAACTTACAGAATGAAGAAAATATTTGCAAATCATATATTTGATAATGAACATATACCTAGAATAGATAAAGAACTCCTGCAACTCAATAAAAAGACAATTCAATTCAAAAATGGGCGAAAGATTTGAATAAACATTTCTCCAAAGACAGAAGAAAGCCAATAAGCATATGAAAACATGTTAAACATTATTGTCAAGGAAATGCAAATTAAAACACCAGTGGGCTGGGTAGTGACTCACACCTGTAATCCTAGCACTTTGGAGGCTGAGGTACGAAGATTGCTGAGGCCAGGAGTCTGAGATCAGTCTAGGGCAACATAGCAAGACTTAGTGTCTACAAAAAAAAAAAATTAGCCAGGCATGGTGACACATGCCTATGGTTCCAACTATTTGGAAAGCTAAGGCAGACTCCTGAGCCCATGGGGTCGAGGTTCCAGTAAGCCATGATTGCGCCACTACACTCCAGCCTGGGTGACAGTGTGAGACCCTAACTCAAAAAACAAAAAGTAAACAAAAAAACCCACAATGAAGTAGAATTTTATACCCACTGGGATCACTATAATAATTGGAAACAACAACAAAAACACCCAGATAATAAGTTCTGGTGAGATGTGGAAAAACTAAATCTCAAACAGTGTTGGTGGGATTACAAAATGGTATAGCAACTTTGGAGTACAGTCTGGCAGTTTTTTGTTTTTTTTTTTTTAGTTGGAGTCTCACTGTCGCCCAGACTGGAGTGCAGTGGCCGCTCCCGGTCACCGCAGCCTCGACCTGCTGGGCTCTGGCGATCCTTCCGCCTCAGCCTTCCAAGTAGCTGCAACTACAGGCGTGTGCTACCACGCCCGGCTATTTTTTTGATTTATTGTAGAGATGAGGTCTCGCCTGCCCAGGCGGGTGTCGAACTCGCAGGCCCAGGCAATCCACTCACCTCACCCTCCCAAAGGCGCGGGATTACAGGCTGAGCCACCGAGCCTGGCTTGGCAGTTTTTCAAAAAGTTAGGTAACTCTCAACCCAGCAATTCTACTCCTAGGAATATACTACAAAATAAATGAAAACATATATATGGAAAAACTTGTACACAAGTGTTCAAAGCACCATTATTGATAGCAGAAAGAACAATTCAAATGTCCATTAACTGATAAACGAATTGTCAAATATTCTTGCTATGTGATATTATGGCCTTAATTTTGGAATAAAGTTGGCCTTAATGAGGAATAAAGTTCTGATATAAGCTAAACACAGATGAACTTTGAAAACATGATGCTAAGTGAAAGAAAGTTAGTCATAAAAGACCACATATTATATGATTCCATTCAAATAAAAGGTCTAGAATAGGCAAATCTACTGTCTATCTAGAGACAAAAAGATTAGCAGCTCCCTAGAGCTGGTGGAGTGGGGGATTTGGAATTAAAGTAAATGGGGTTTCTTCTTGGAGTGAAAAAAGTGTTTTAAAATTGACTGTGAATGGTTACACAACTCTGTGAATAATACTAAAACCACTCAATTGTACAATGTAAATATGAATTAGTGCAATAAAGCTGTACAAATATTTACACACACACACACATTACACACAATATGATTTCATTTATAAAATGACAACAACAGGTAATGCTAATTTAGCTATCGAAAGCCAGGATAGTAGTTACCCTGGCAGAGAGAAGGGCAGTGACTGGAAGAGGGCCAAGAGGGTTTCTGCCATATTGATAATGTTCCATTTCTTGATCTGGATGCTGCTTATATGGGTTGGTTCTGTTTGTGAAAATTCTTCAAGGTATGTAGAGCTATGATATGTGCAGTTTTCTACATGTATAGCATGCATCAACAAAAAGTATAAAAATAGATTTTATGGTTAGCACCTAGACCTTTTAAGTGTCTGAATATAAAAAGGACATTCTTAGCTGACATCAAGAAACAAAATGGCAATCACACTCAGCAAGTTATCTCTTATGTAAACTTAAAAGGAGGAAAATTTTTAAAAAAGGAGGAAAATATACTCATGACTGCTTTGCTCATGGCAATACAATAGTACTTTTTTTTATAAGTTAAGAAAACTTAGCTGGGTTTGGTGGCTCAGCCTGTAATCCCAGCGCTTTGGGAGGCCAAGGTGTGTGGATTGCCTGAGCCCGCGGGCTCGACACCCGCATGGCCAACTTGGCGAGACCTCATCTCTACAATAAATCAAAAATTAGCTGGACGTAGTAGCGCATCTCTGTAGTGCCAGCTTCTTGGAAGGCTGAGGTGGAAGGATGGCTGGAGCCCAGCAGGTCAAGGCTGCAGTGGCCACAAATGGCCACTGCACTCCAGTCTGAGTGACAGAGTGAGACACCAACTCAAAAAAAAAGAAAAGAAAACTTATCTAAGGCCCAGTATAAAAAAAATGTAGAGCATTATGTATTTATTTGTCAAAAGTGAAATTATTAAGCTATGTTATTAAGCTTATGATGAAAAACACTCAATAGGGAACATTTCGGGTTCTACCACTTACTATGTGACTTTAATGAAATCAATTAATGTCTCCTTTATGTTTCCTTAGATCTCTTGTCTCAGGACATTCTACTTTGTGTGATTTTGGGGGAGAATCATGTAAAGTTTAATATACAATGTTACTCCCCAAAAACCAAAAAAAGTTAACGGAATGCACAATGTTGCACTCTAGTTCAAAATGAAATCAAAAGGCCATGAATGAAATATAATATTAAGAAGCCTAAGAGTTCACTCAATTATTCTATATAAAAGTATACTAAATTTAATTGTAAAAATTACTCAAATAATTGCATAAAGAGCACTTCAGAGGCTATAAATGTATTCCATATTATTTGATGATTAAGAGAAACAGTCACAGAGTCAAGCTGAGTAATGGCCTAAATGAAACAGCATGATACTTTATAGTATAATATATTGTAAATCACTATAAATACTTTGAATAGAATATACAGGTTAATTTTGTTTTTCCTCTTGTTTCTACAACTTAAAAGATACAAACAGGATCTGCTACTGGAATGTGAAGGAAAGGATTGGTATGCCTTTCTCCCTAATGGCAGACGCAAATCAGTTAATACCTGAGAAGTGGAGTTGTCAGAACCACCTGGGTGAGACTCATCAGAGGGCCCAACAGAGCCATGAGCAGTCAGTGAAATGCTCCCTCCAAGAAATTCATCTCCTCGAACCGAATGGATAAGATCATTCAAATATTTATAATAAAGATTGCTAGACAAAAAACCAGGCAAAAAGACCTAAAAGAGAGGAAAACATTACTTTAAAGCTGAAATCAAACACAACTAAAACTTTCTTATATAAACAAACTATATGTATAATTCTACCAGTTAACACACGTTTTTACACTGTAATGAAAATTACAACATGTACAATTTTGTTGGGTTTTCTCCCCAAAATGCTTACCATGAAATTTTTACATATACTTGATATTAATAATTCTTAGTGAGTAGAAAATAGTCCACAGAGTAGAAATAATTTGAAACTAGAATCTTCTAGTTTGTAATAAATACTAAAGTGTTTGTGCATATGTCGACACTTATTTTTGAACTACTTCCTTAAGATAAACCACCAACAGTATGATTGCTGAGTTAAGTTTTAACTTTGATATACACAGCCAGTTTATCCTTCAAAAGGATATTATCAATTTGTATCACTAGTGATATATTAAGTTATCTGTTTCCATACAGGCTTTCCAACACTGGGTTGTGTTTTTTTCAAATCATTGGTAAATAAATTATTAGAGGTATATATTTTTATTTGCATTTAATAATTATCAATGGGGATGTGGCTCGAGCCTGAGGCGCGCCGGGCCAGAGACGTCGCAGACCCCAGGACTCGAAGGCGGTGAATTATAGCTCTTGAAGTCTGCAATAAAAAATGGCCTCCAATAAAACTACACTGCAAAAGATGGGAAGGAAACAGAATGGAAAGAGTAAAAAGGTTGAAGAGGCAGAGCCTGAAGAGTTTGTGGTGGAAAAAGTACTGGGTCGACGTGTAGTGAATGGGAAAGTGGAATATTTCCTGAAGTGGAAGAGATTTACAGACGCTGACAATACTTGGGAGCCTGAAGAAAATTTAGACTGTCCAGAGTTAATTGAAGCATTTCTTAATTCTCAAAAAGCTGGTAAAGAAAAAGATGGTACAAAAAGAAAGTCTTTAGCTGACAGTGAATCTGATGACAGCAAATCAAAGAAGAAAAGAGATGCTGCTGACAACCTGAGGGGCTTTGCAAGAGGTCTTGATCCTGAAAGAATAATTGGTGCCACAGACAGCAGTGGAGAACTGATGTTTCTCATGAAATGGAAAGATTCAGATGAGGCAGACCTGGTGCTGGCGAAAGAGGCAAATATGAAATGTCCTCAGATTGTAATTGCTTTCTATGAGGAGAGACTAACTTGGCATTCTTGTCCAGAAAATGAAGCTCAATAATTGTTTGCATTGCTTTTTATATATATTTATATATATATATATATAAAATCTGGGTCTTGGTTTTCGATATCCTAGTATGACGAAATAACTGCATTCTAATGAAAATTAAGTTTGATAAGTTTGTTTTGAAAGTAGTTTTGGGAGAGTTGTTGGGGGGGGTTGCATCAGTAGCACCAGTTACTTTGAACAAATAAAAACTTTCTGTAGTTGCTTCCTTTCTCAGAAAATAACATTTGATACCATGGTATATTATTTCCTCTGCATTAGAGAACAGCTTTTCTAAATGTTGGGAGAAATTTCCATAGTCATTACTCAATCAGAATTTGTGTTCTCATATGCCTAAGGACCATTCTGGATTTTTTGTTTTGTGTGTGTGTATACATAAAATACATATGCAGATGGTTTTCCTTTTTGTTGTTGTTTTTAAATATTAACCAAAACAAAAATTTTGGGTAAGCCCTTGTTTCTGAAATGCCGTCATTATGAGCAGCCTAAGAAATAAATCACTTAAATTGAAAATTTTTTGAAGCCAAACATTTAAAGTTAAATAGATGATTCTGGGATTAATA